ATGCACTACTATTATGGTTTTGGGGACCTAATTCCATAAGAGTAGTGTATATGGACCCTCTTGGTTACTGTTGATGATATAAATCCTGCATTACCTTAAGGACCCAAAACCATGGGAATTATGGAATATTCCTTATTATGGGTAATGCAGGATTTATATCATCAACCGTTACCTCACACCCAAGTTACCAGCCCTGTCTCTGAGACCCTGAGACGACCCGAAAGCACAAAGCCCGAATCCACCCTCGAGGACCTTAAGCCCTACCTGAACCTACCAAAACCTACTTTTTTGTAAGGTCCCTATAAAACCCATACTAGGGTTATAATAAGAACCCACAAAAAAGTAGGGTTTGGTAGTTTAAAGTAAACCACAGGACGTTATTGAAACCCGCTCCGTGGCGGCATAGGTGGCATCGCGCGACCTTCTTGCCCAGAGGGTCTAGGCTTTAAATAAGTTTGAGGATAGTTGCCGAGTGCATAAGCCCAAAAAAGTTTAAACTTTCAGTTTTAAGAAGGTTTCGTTATCCCAAAAAGTTTAAAGTTTATAAAATCAGCTACTAAGATAAGGGCTACGACAAAGGTTGCTCGTCTGGCGGCCTGCAGCAGGGAAGGGGTCTTGCCTGACAGAAATCCTAGCTGGCGTGATGATACGTATAAGCCTACAAAACTTACCATTGGCTAGTAGGGAACGGAAGAATGGTAGTAATAGTAGTTATACTTGTACCCCATTCCTCCATTCCCTACTAACCAAAGGTAAGTATCCCTTTACACGAACCCTAAACTAAACCCATATAGACCCCTTAAGAGGAACCCTATAGATCCATTTACTAATCGGTGCCTGTGTGCAGATCGGCCGTGGCCAGGCCAATCCATCGCCACGACGAGAAATCCCAAAGAAGCCAGATGCGGAGCGATCCTCAGCAGCGAACTCTCTAAATGGGTAGTTCTCAAAATGAGGGTCCCTTTTGGGGTACCCTTAATAACGTAATAACGAGCCAACAAGGGACCCTAATATTGACAACCACCCGAATGAATACGGGGTTTAGGTGGTTTAGGGTTTATGGGTTCAGGGGCTATCCTCAGCAGCGAATTCTCAAGAAGAACAGGGGTTTAAGGGAACCCAAACACTATATTGGATGCCAAGTAGCGTAGGACATTCTTCTTAAATTACGGAGCCTAAAACGGAAGTCTTGTGTGCTTTGGGGTCTGGGGCTGCTGGATAGGTTTAGGGTTTAGGGTTTAGGGCTTAGGGGTTTAGGGTTGAGGGTTTAGGGTTTAGGACATCAAACTGTCATGACGGTTCGAAGTTCTTCATTGTCTTAAGACCTCCGCACCTGTCCCACCGGTAGCCGGAGGATCGAACCGAGCCCAAAAACAGCACACCTACCATGATCCATCAACCCTAAACCCCAAAACCTCCCATGGCATCCGCCCAGGAAAGTTGAACCGCTAAACCCTACCCGAAAAACCTGTAACACACAAACAAGAAGCTGTAGGAAGCTGTTGCTGTTGTCCAGCCAGCCGTGCAGGGCCAAGACCGGGCGGCCGCGAACACCCCAAGCCTGAAAGTTGGCGGGGGAGGGGGTTTCATAGGGTTTAGGGCTGCGAGGGTTTATAGGGTATGATAAACAAATGCGTCCGAGGATTTTGTAGGGGTGCCACCCCTCTGAGAAGCAATGTTGGAAATCAGTCGCTCTCATGACCTAGTTCATTGAGTTAAGTCGAACGATAAATGCATGATCAAACTGTATACCTAGACCCTCCATCTACCCTCGATTAGACCCTAAGAACCCACTATTGGGGACCATATGCCCCTATTTGATGGTACCAGCAGGGTCCTGGTATAAGGGGATCTCCAGTCTGTCAGAAAAATATTGTAAATATTCGGGCTACACGCAGAGAACATTCCCAACCTGTCATTTCAATCTAGGATAATAATAGTTGTATAATTACTATCAAAGGGCATAATACTACTTGGTATTCATGCACCATGGCGAACGTTTAACCGCTGAACACTCAGACCCCCAAAGCCCTTAGTACTTGCCTCCAAAACTCAACAGCCCAGAGCCCTTGTTCCCAAGACCCTACACCCCAACCTCGATCCCTACCCTAGACCCTAAACCCCAAGCAGGCTAAACCCTGTACCCAAACTTGGACATATACCTATAGTCTTCATTGTAGTTCCTTGTTTAACCATATCTATATTCAGGATACTATAAGGTAACCCCAAGATGGAACTACAATGGAGACTATAGACAATTGGAGGATCATGGGACTTGGTAAGTAAGGTTATAGGTGCATTAATTGGGGTCATAAGTAATTGTAAGTATAGTTACCTTCATTATCACCCTAGTTACTAAGTCCCATGAGCCTTTAAGTAGGGATCCCCAACAGCGCACGGAGGCCTGGCCAGCTAAGCGCAGGCCCTCCGGAAGCGGCAGGGACACCTCTCAGGGGACCCCAAAAAGTCCAAGTCCAAGTAACGGTGTATATATACGGTATAGTATATACTTTTAAGACCCAAGTATCCACCAAGCTGTTTATATAGGCTTACCAGTGCAAGGTTTCATGGAATTTTGGGGTTCAGGGCACGTGTTCTTTTTTGACACCTCTTCTTCGCCCGCGCGGTAATGTGGTTGGAATGCCAAGATGGCTGAGGCCTTATGCGAGAGGCCACAGACAGAGGGATTCACCACCTAACACCGACTAATCCCCACTACTGCAGAACAACTGGGCTTCTCGCCACGAGAAACGGAACCGAGCACTTCGACTAACTCCGCCAATAGCAAGCAACCACGTTTTAAAAAAGCAACAGGACATCGAAATCGACCAGGTACTAAGCAGCATCAGAGTTTGGGCTTTAGGGGTTTGGGGCTCTCGGATTGTAAGTCATCTCGTGGTTCTCATGGCTCCAGTTACCTGAATAACGGGAGATATGGCCAGTGAGTAGAAACCCCTATTCAGGCGACTGTATCCTGAGGGCATCATCAGCCGAGGACGGGTGCTCTGCACTCTTCCAACCAAAGAGACCTTCCGGAATACTGTTGGTCTTACTTGCAGCTCACCCTGACATTTGTGACGCTCGTTACTGTCACTCGTTACGTTTGCTTCCGGTTCTCGTGTTTTGTATGTGCTGCTGCTATTGCTATTAGTGGCAAACCATTTAACCACCACTGCCTGTTCAATAATACCCTATGATGTCCCAGACCATACTAGAATATACTCATATATATTCTAATATATTGTAATACCCTATCATTTAACTTAACATACTCTGATATAAAAAACTTTTTGAGGACGACCACTCGCAAGGACGATCCCACCTCTGTGGCAGCGCGGCTCACAATACCTGCCACAGAACAGAGTATACTATGTAGACTACAGCATAGTATACTCTATAGTATACTGCATATATAGTATACCATAATATACTAACGGTATGACAGGGACGCAGGCTTGAAACCTTTCCGCCAAGGGCCTGGCAAGATTGCTCTGGAACTCGGGATTGCATAATGACCGACTAGAACAGCAGCGGGATGAAGGTGTAGTGGAACCCGGGAGATAATGATGCAAGCACTCTGTCGAAGCCGGAATCCCAAACCCGTAAACTTCCCTAAACCCTAAACCCTTAACCCTAAACCCTAAACCCTAAAACCCAAACTCGCGCCATCCCAGGAACCCCTCACATCAGAATCGCTAGATCGTCCCCCTCAAAGACTCAACAGAAGCCGAATGCGATCAACAAGGGAAAGATCTCAGAAGCCGAACCCCCCTACCTCAAAATAAACCCTACCCCTATAGGCCCTGTATAGACTACTTATATAGACCCCCCAACGACCCTCTAATACACCCTAAATACCTACTACTAAGGACCATAAGGCTTCCAGTAAAGGGCCATTGGGGGGGTCCTGGTATAGACCCCTACACCCCAATAAGGACAACAAAATTAGCTGGGCCTCGACGGCCCCGGAGCCCAGGGCCGTGGCTCCACGTGGCTCGGGCGGCCAAGGCCATGGCGAGCTTGGTTTTGGCGGGGTGAGGGCGGGGGTGATGGACTTTTTGGTAGATATGGATACATATATATATATATATATTAAATAAAAAACTAGTTGTACATGTATATATATATATACATACACTTCAATTTGTAACAGCTACGTGTTGTAAAGAGATGCGAACAGGGGGTTTGGAGTCAGGAGCACAGATTCGGTGTAAAATTTTGAGTGCACGGGTTGGATTGTAGAGATTTGGAGTCTACCTAGTGGCTCAAACCCGACCCCTTTCATTGGATACCTAGGTTTATGGTTAGGATCTGTTATATAGAAAAGTAGATACCCCAAGAACGGGACAGGGTATGAGCCTACAGGCACGGTTTGGTTCAGAGCTCCTAAGGACATGCGAGTTCATGCAGCAAGGAAGACTTGAACCAGTCTTGCAGCATTTGCTGGAAAGGGCGGGGTAGGAGGAAAACCATTAACTTTCCTAAACCCCTGCTCTAGATTAAACCCGAAACCTGTCGTATGAGCACCGGGCGGCTCGGCTGCAGGAGCTAGGAGAGTGCCATAAGGGCATGACTCAATCAGTAAGTGAAAAGGGTTTGGGATTTAGGGTTTAGGGCTGAGGGGAGTAGGGGTCTATATTCAGCAATAAGGGATAATGTTCATACCTAGATGAGTGTCAGCTGGATAGCCGAAAGTCAACAAGACACAGATGTTGCAATGACACACTTCCAAAAATCTAAACCATATAAACCCTAATACCAACACCCTAGCTATAAAATGTGTTAGAACCCTTAGAAACTCCCCCCAGGCCAGTTCAGCCTGCAAATGCTGCCTTCCTGAAACTACTTGTGAGCGGCTCAGCTGTCCAAGTTGCTCTCATGGGTATGACTGTTTGGATGGATACGGATACTGCCTAGATTCCTAGATGGGGCCACCCTAAAAGTCAACAAGATAACAACATTCAAAACAACACTTTCAGCTCCATGCCCTTCAGTCTCGCCTTTCTGCATTGTGGAGCGGTGTGCCGGCAGGCGGCAGCGGCACTGCGGCACGTCGGAGGCGCCCTGCTACGGCTGTTGCGGGCTGAGGGCACCGACGCCCGGTTGTGAATGAGCTTACTGTAGGGGGCTATAGAGCACTGTAGGGCTGCAACACCCGATTCTTAAGATGCAACATCTTTCGTCACAAGACCACAGAGGCCACCACCACTGGGGATTCAAAGGCTGCCAGTGCGGCTCCTGCCATTTCATGCCTTCCTGACCGTTGGCAGTATTATTAAATCGCAAAACAGCTACAAGGAACAGAAACGCACATTGAAGGTGGGGTTTAGGGTTAAGCCATTCAGGCTTACGAAAAGTTTCGGCTTTCAGGCCGGGCCTCCTCTACGCGACCATGGATGGAGGTGGCAGCCTCGGGGCATCATCATCACCACCATATGCCATATGCTGGATTCGAAGATCATGATTTCCCGTTGAACTGCACCTCACTGCAATCAGTAGTCCAGTAGTATAGTGCGCAGAGACACCTGCGCTGGAAATTAGTGCAGTTTACTTGCCATTTTCGAAGGAGGTCGTCCCACTAAGCGAAGCTGTCAAACGCCACGCAGCTGCAGGAAAGTCGTCATCGACGAAGAGCTCGCCGCTCTTCGTTCTGCAGGATGAACCTTCGGATGGCTGCTCGCAGGTGCTCTGTGCGTTGGCGATTTCGCTTTGGGAACTGTGACCCCTGAGACCTGAAATCCTAATGCCCTTAAATCCCACAGCCAGTGTGCAGCCTAAACCTCGCATCATGAGCCCAAAGGCTGAACCTCCGCTATGGCAGTCGAACGGTTTGGGTCCACGAGTGAATAGCCAACATTCGGCTTGGACATGATGGCCGCACATCTAAACTCAAACCCTATACGAACCCTTATTACAAGCTCCAGAATCCCCAAACCCACAAAGAAAGCTCAGGAAGCTCTTGAAGCGTATACACTCTGTAAAACCTAGAATAAATCGGTGATGCTTCAAGCCCTCCTTTGTGGAGTCATAGGAGCCTCCGTGCTTGGTGCGCCATGACATTATTTCCCCCCGATCCTGACACCCCGGTACTACGGCACTGAATCTCCGCGCATGCAGCAGTTTATGACTCTTGTTTTTATAGCCTAAATTGCCAAGAGTGTGAAGGTTGTACGCGAAAGGCATTCTACACGACATGCTCGAAAAACGAGATACCCCTCAAGTATTTGTGTACGTATGTATTTATGTGCGTGTATGTATGTATAAAAAAACAAATAAGTAGATAAACAAATAAATAGGCATTTTATCTATACATATATATACTGACATGTGATTATGTACAACTTGAGCACCTACGAACGGTGGTGATGATGATGCTGCTCGTGGCAGTATAGTCGTGACAAGGCCTGCAAAATCACCCGATGGATCACTACGACGACGTTCTAAAGAAGTTCTCCCACACCCTAATGTAGGAACCTGATTAGGAAACCTTGGGCCTTTATTAGGGCTTATATGAAGCCTACGATTTTGAGGTTATAGGCCAGGGTTTCTTAATCAGGCTCTTATATTAAACCCCTAAAGTAAAAGCCAGAAAGTTGGAATATGATATAATATGATTATCCTAAGCCCTTTATGGTAAATTATAGGGTATCCTACCCTGAAACCATATTCCAACTTTCTGGAGTTCCCTTTAAACCGTGACTCCTGGAATGGGTCACTCCGCCTGTTGGCTCCCCGTCTTTGGTGATAGGCTGCTCGGGGAGTGCGTCGTCGCCATCAACTGCGCAAAGTAACGTGAGATGTCACAGGGTTTACTATACTGAACTTAGAACCCTAGCAAAAATTAAGATTCTAGCTGTTTCTTAGGGATTAAAACAACCAAACATTAAAAACTATTTCTAAGTACCCCTAAGTTTAGGGCCTCTGGCCATCCGTGAAGTCCCACAACTCCGACTTCAAAAGTCCATGCCTACGGCTGCAGGTCAATAAGTCCTTAACGGTTACGGGCTTAGGGTTTAGAAGCTATATGACCGATCGAAAAAGTATGCTGATTTGGGGTTTAGGGTGCCCCAAACCCCTTTCGAAACATCCAGGTTGCAAACCACCTGACCGTGCAGGGGTTCAAAACAGGTAGCATCAAACCCCAAACCCCCAATTCAAAAAAACAATCTTGAACCCTAAATACCCTGAGCCCGAAACCCTGAAACCCAAAGCTATAGAGTTGAGGCTGTCGGGTCCCTGGCGGCCTTGATACCAAGCCGACGCCGAGTTGGCCATGGCCCAACAGCTCAGGGAAGAACATCGGCTCCACGGAGATGCTTAGGATCTTGAGGGTCTGGGTTTAGGGTTTACCTATAAGGCTCCATAGTAGTTCCTTTTTGGGAGTACCTTATAGGATTCTAAATATGAAACCCAAAAAGGAACTACTATGGAGCCGAGGGTTTAGGGTTCCAGGACTTAGATTTTAAGACATTTTAAGTTTACAAAGGTTTCATGTCTTGGGGCTCCAGGTAGGGAGTTTGTTTATCAAGACGATGATTACAATGATGCGAACGATGGTGACGATAACTCTTGCTGCCGCTATTCTCCTTCGCATTGGTCATATATTTTTGGCAAGACAGTTTTTACAGTAGGTCAGTTGGATGGGTGGGTGGGTGTATGGGCATTGAAGGCTTTTCGGGGCGCGGGGCTGTCGGGACAAAGGCTGTGAAAATAAGTGGGTGCATTAACTAGGCGTTACAATGCATGGCACAAGCCCAAAAGCTGCGTCAGTCCAGTACATTAAGACTGGACACTGCCCTATCATAACCGGCAGGAGGATTCACACTAATATGCTACAACATGTTACATGTAACAAGACGTGTGGCAAGCACCGGACATGCCATCGTGCATCTGCAGACATGCTTCCCTTAACAGAGTACAGTAGAAGCCAGAAAGCTGGAACATCAATATCCTCATGGCCTTAAAGGTAAAGTATAGGGGATCCCAGCACTAATCATCCTAAATCCATGTTCCAACTTTTTGGGTTTCACTATAAAAGGTAACATCCAGAACAAGGCAGAGATTCGAGGTTAAGGAACCCTGATACACCTGACCCCAGCCATCCCGATCCTCCGCGTGCCCCTAAACCCGGAACCCTGAACCCCAGCAGGGTTTGGGGTTTATAGGGTTTAGGTTTTAGGGGTGTAGGGTTTGGGGTTTATGGCGAGGTAGGTGATTTTATGGGATATGGAGCCAGAACGAACTAGTTGCATATCTTCGGGCAAAGTAGCTGGGATTTAGGGCTCACTGAACCCTGAAATTCAACCCTCAACCCTAAACCCTCCACCCGGCTCAAGTCTCCGGCAGCAGAGTTTCCCTTGTGTCCAACATCGCAATAGACTCAGCCTGCGGATGATGAAGCTGAGGGCATGAGGGCAGTGTCAGCGCCTTAATAATTAGAATAGGGTTTTGGGGGGTGTATAATATCCCCCCAAACCCTCTTATCTAATTATTCAGGCCCCTACATCATGAGCTCCCCTATGGGGCTGTAGAATTCGGGACTTAGGGCCCTGTGGATTGTATGTGTGTACGGAAAGTAGGTAGGATACCTCGCCACACCACGCGACACCAGACCATACTATGCCGCTGCCACGTAGCGCGCTGCACTGCACCGATAGAGATGTCGCAGGACATTCGCAAGCGGACACGGCTTGGCAAAGCATTCAGATGATAAGAGCCTGGATCAGTATAAGAGTTTCGTGCTTGTTGAGGCCGTATGCTTTAGTCGGTGTGAGTGGCGGAGCTGACACGTTAAGTCTCTGTCCGGTGTATCGGAGCTACTGTGAGATTTGTTTGCGGCGGTTCGATCTCTGGTTTCTGTCCCTGGAGCGGAAGAGTACGGAATTAAGGGTACTCAATCTGCGGTTGCGGCTGTTTTTAGCTTGGGGTGACACGACATCGAAAATGCTGGCAGGACATATCAGGAATCTCGCATTCCGGATTCCCGACTTCCCGAAATCGGCTTAGGGCAGTTTAGGTTCGAGGACTGAAACGAAGGGAAAGCCTGCCACTGTTAGAGTTACACATCCTGAACCTCAAAGTGGAAAAGGAGGGACCCTTAATGGGGACCCCTACCCTATAATGGGCTATATAAAGGGTATATAGTAGCTATATTAAGGTTATTAAGGGTATATACCTAGGGGGCCTTATTAAGGGTCCCTCCTTTTACCCTTGGATGAACCCCAACTGCCTTGCCGTCGATGGAAGGTACAGCGACCTCGATTGTGGAGGAGTCGCTGCCCTCTGCAACCCGCACAGTCAGGATGACCTGAGGGGTTCGCTTGCAAGCAGTCTCGCGGAGTCAACGTTGAATCTATACCCTAGCTTTCCTTGGAGTCTACCTACAGTCTCCGTTGTAGTTCATTTTTGGGAAATCTGATAGGATCCTCCATAGTTATAAATATGGTTAAACCCAAAAAGGAACTACAATGGAGACTATAGGTAGGGTGTAACTACTGCCGAAGTTGAGGCGAGGACTAACCACAAGCCCTCTCAGAACGGCTACCCTTCTCCTGTCGCTTGACAAAACTTCAGGCCCTGCAGGCCTTCGGCTTCGTAATCTTATCGAGTGAAGAACCCAAGTGCATGTTGATGCCCAAGGACTGCTTGCAATGTTCCGAAGTTGTAGGACCATGCACCGGACGCAAGCCGTTTCAGAAAGAGGCGGAAGATTCTGTGAACGACAGACTTCTTGATTACAAGCAGCGGTAAACGTCAACTGGTCTACATCCCAAAGCTTGGCCGAGCTAAGTGGCACTGCCGTCCTTTACCCGCATGACGTTGATCGTCCTTTTGCGGGAGATGTAGGGAGAGCTCTGACTGCGAAAACCAACGTAACCGCCTTAGGGTTTAAAGACTTTCGTGGGGGTGTAGGGCTTAAGGGTTTCGTGTTCAGGGTCCACAAAAAGTTTTCAGGAGCTGCCACGCTTAGGCTAGGATGTAGATTGGATTTCGGGTCGAGGGGTTTAGGTTTGTAGGGCTTAGGATCTGGGTTTATAGGGCTCGTAAGGTATTGTAGGGTTTACGGGCTAGGGATTAGGGTTTAGGGTTTTGGGGTTGCAAACTGAACCAAGACTCACATATGTCCACTATTTCGCCCAAAGGCTGATGCAACGAAAACTTTATGTGCCGAAATTCCACCCTACGTCGGTTGTTGAGCTACAAACACCAGAATGCTTAAACTTTCAGTCCTTATGGAAGTCATATTATCCCCCCAAAGTGTATAGTATACTAATTCAACTAAGCTACAGCTAGGCGCACCTATAGAAGCCCTGACACAGTCCTGTTCTCGGGTTTCGTGGACAGCGTGCCTCAGTATGGATCACGCATTCCCAGCTCCTACCTATCACATGCCGCATGTAACTCTGATGCAGATTGTTGGCATGACGACATGCTGGACAAGTTTGCATGCGATGCGGCCTGGCGAACTGCAAAATCGACAAGGCTGTGTTTGCACCCTTTGCAGAATAGAGTAAGTAAGAACGAAGGCGGCTGAAAGGAGTGCGAAACGACAGACGTGGCCTTGAAAGAGTGCAACGTCGAACAAAGCAACTCGTGCAGCGTCGCTCTTATCAAAGGCGTAGCTGGCATAGCTGTGGGTGCTGAGGGTAAAGTACCTGCAACGAACGGTCCCTCAGCATAGCGCAACCAGTCTGCAAAACCTGCAACTCGACGTTTGATTGTGATATGTTGCCTTCTTTCCCAACTGCCAGCGATTTCGTTATTACGCATGGCTACGATGATGATTCTTCGCTCGTACAGCACAAGTCTTGCCCTTTCAAAGCTCCGTCATCGTCAAGGCTACTACTATGGTTATTACACTTACAAACAAGCGACTGATACCTGGCAGCTAGGTGCAGGGCCGTCCAATCGCACAGAGACACCCTGTGGATTCTTGACCTGCCGCAGGGTGCACTTCAAAAGCAACTTGCCTCTGAGTAGTGCATCTCAACCTCCTAAACCCTAAAACCCAAAACCCTCATCAACCCCTAAACCCTCAACTCCGAAAACCAAAACCCTCATATATAAACCTCTAAACCCTAAACTCCTAAACCCGAAACCCTCATAAACACCTAAAACCTAAACTCCTACACCCAAAACCTTCATAAACCCTAAACCCAGATTTACCCTGAACCCTGCTCGGATTTAGAGCTTCGGAATTAGTTCTCGGGGAGTCGGGATGAGTAGGTAATGGTTGAATAGCGATACCCATAGGTCCCATAGTAGTTCCTTGTGGGGGTTCATATTTAGAATCCTATAAGGAAATCACCAAAAGGAACTACTATGGGGCCTATGGGTAATTTAATAATAGCAGAAGCAAGGCGTGGTACGACATAGGCACCCAACTCACAACTGAACACTGCAATCTCGAACACCGCCCAGAAAGCCAAGCTCCCACACGGCCCCTGGCACGAAATTCTCCACGACAAGTCAGAAGCCGAAGCCTGCAACCAACTACTCGAAACTCCAAAGCCGAAAAGCAACACAAACAACACCTACAACCCCCCCGTCAAACCCAAAGCCCTAAAGCCTTAAAACCCTGAGAGGCCCTAAAGCCCAAAAAAACATCAACCCTGGAGCCACAAACCTTCCAACACTGGGGCCCCCGAAAAACTGCAACCCCAAACCCCAAGCAACACATCATAATTGCCGGAAGCCTAAACCCTAAACCCCCTACCGCCACAAAACCCCGCATCCTAAAGGCCCAAATAAACAAACAAAAGCTGGCCAGTCTAAGCCCGTCGCAAACAGGGCCATGGTGAGAGGTGACTGATGCGTCTCCTAGCAGTCCGGTTGAAGGTTTCGGGCTTGGGGGTCTGGAGTGTCAGCTTATTACCAGATGGGCTCGAGCAATGTTCCTTATCATACAGCTCTCAAAAAGGCACATTGGCAAATGAGGGCCAGCTTTGGAATTTAAGCTTGCAGGATGAGCACTCGAGGGTCTTATTGGACTTTTGGGCTTGCTGTAGGGTTAGTAAGGCTTCTGTTGAAAAAGGTTTTCGGGTCTGCGGAGAGGCTTACGACATACGTCTTGTGTTTCGTACTGTAGGATTTTGGCATCTAGAGGATAGACAGCTTCGGGTGTAGGCAGTAGGATCATTCGGAGAACAACAACACGTTGCAGGCAATTCAGGGACAAGGAGTTGCAGTGCTGGCCCAACCTACCGGCTCGCTTGTACTTTCTGTATTCACTCTGTGGCCGTAGCATAGTGACCCTCAGGCCTGAGCCCTACACT